CTGCAAAGTAATGACAATGACATGGCTGTGTCGAACTTTGGAAGGAAAAGCTGGTTAAATGGCATTCTCCATAATACTGTGTGAGCTCGTGCTGGAGAGGAACATTATCCAAACACAGCCCACTCCCATATGCACCGCTCCCCCCCCCCCCCCCCGGAGGATTTCTAGTAAACAGCCTTCATTCTGAGAACATTTCCATTCAGACAGCGTCCCAGACACTCTACCAAGTTAGAGAATGAATAACAGCAGATGGAGGCAGAGATTAGAGGTGGAGAGGAGGGGTGGGGGGGAACCACATTTAATGCTGAGCTCTAAAATGAGCGGTGCAGAGGACTTGGGCGCTGAAAGTTATGTTTAAGCTGTTCTGAAGCCTTCCCCAGCAAGCAGCAAGACCCTGTGCCCAGATCATAAAACACAGGCACGCTCCTGTTCTCACCCCTCAGTGTGCGAGCTGGCTGGGGGAGAGCTGGGTGTGACTATGTGCGAGTAAATCCAGCCATCCTCCCTCTCCTCCCTCCTCTGCCCTCCAGCCATGGAAGCAGCATTTTTGTGCAGTAGGGGATCCATTTCATAGGTATAGGGGATCAATCTTCTTACCAGGCAGACACTCCACTCTCATTTATGTGCCCTGTGATTTAAGTGTTTATGTTAAATGTCTTTGCAGCAGGATATGTGGCACTAGGGCCCAGGGGAGAGTTAGAAATGGGTTTATGAGCAACTAGGTAGGGTGGTGAAAGGGAGAGAAAAGCTGAGAGTTATTTTCCATATGCTGTACAAAACTGTCCAGGTGAGACCTATTTTAAAAGAGTAACAATAAGGTATACATGAGTTTATTTTCTTCCAATATTTTACTAGGAACATTTACAGACATATAGGAGAATGAAAACGTTTTCTAGTTAACACATCCCCAGCAGCTAGATTCTACCATTAACATTTGATGTGTCCAGTCCATGTATCCATATTTCTTAGTTTTTAAACTGGAAACATAATCACACCTCCTTTAAATGTTTCAGCATTTAAGTGTTTGATACTTGCCTCTGTGTGTGCGTGTGTGTGTGTGCGTGCGTGCATGTGTGTGTGTGTGTGTGTGTGTGTGTGTGTGTGTGTGTGTGTGTTGGCACTGTCCCTGAGCTTTTCTTTTTTCCTTTTTTAACCCTCAAGGCTAGAGCTCTACCATTGGAGCCACAACTCTGTTTTTTGTTTTTTGGTTTTGGTGGTTAATTGGAGATAAGAGTCTCATGAACTTTCCTGCCTGGGCAGGCTTTGAACTGCGATCTTTAGATATCAGCCTCTTGTGTAGCTAGCTAGGATTACAGGCATGAGCCACCAAGTACTCGGCAAATTTTGGCTTTTATTTTTAAAACAAAAAATGTGATGCATGTGACGGATCTTATATTAAATTTTATACTTAATGTGATGCATCTTGTATTAATTTTATATTTAATGTGAAGTAGGGGTAACACTTTTTCTGTTTTATTTTTCACTGATGACAAATTAACCTAGTACCATTTGTGGCAAAGACTTTTTCTCTTTCATTGGATTTCTTTGGTGCCATTGTCAAAAATCAAATGGTTCTACCTATTTGCTGTGTTTCTATATCTTGGTTCTCTGTTATTTATGCTTGTGTTATGTCATACTCATGATAACTATAACTTCATGAGTAAATCTTGAAGTCTTATTTGTGTAATTCTTACAAGTTTATTATTCTTTCTCAAATTGCTTTGTCTGGTCTATGTCCTTTACATTTCCATATAAATGTAAAAATCTGTATGCTAATCCCAAAACATCAGGATTTGCAGATAATTAGCGTACTAATAATGTTGGGTTTTCTGATCCATGAACATTGTATATATTCCTATTTTTTAAGTCTCTAATTTTTATCAGCAGTGCTTTTAAATGCTCACTCCAGAGATCTTGCATATGTTGTGTTAAAATTCATTTCTAAGTGCTTTATATGTTTATTATTTGGTATTGTTACAAATAAAATTACATTTCGAATTGTTATATTTTGCAGCTAGCATATAAAAGTGAAGAATATGTTAATTAGCTTGGTTTAATCATTTCACAAGGTCAAGTATATACCAGAACAACACTTTGTACTCTATAAATATATGCAATTATTATTTTGCTTAGTGAAAAATAGGCTTGTAAACTCAAAAGAGTACAAGTGAGTATTGCATATTAACTTTGCATCCTTCAACAGCTAAATTCACTTATTCATTCTAGTGGTTGCTTGGCAATTGCTTTTGAATATTCCAAGTCATCTGCCAATAGAGATGTCTTATTTTCCAGTTTCTATATCTCTTATTTCTTTTTGCTGCTTTATCTCAAAGGATAAGACCCCTTATCCAGTATTGAGTCTAAGAGGTTCTTAATGTTAGAGGAAATGGTATTTTACAATGAGATGTGATTTGTAGCTTTGGGTCTTTATAGCTTCCCTTAGTCAGATTGTGGAGATTCTTTTCTATTCTTAGTTTGCTGATCTGAGCACTTACTTTATTTTTCTGTGCCAGTCTTAAGGCTTGAACTTGAGGCCTGGCTACTATCCCTGAACATTTTTGCTACCACTTGAGCTCTTTTGGTGCTTATTTGGAAAGAAAAGTCTCACGGACTCTCCTGTGGAGGCTGGCATTGAACTCCAGTCATCAGATCTCAGCCTGAGTAGCTAGGATTACAGGTGTGAGCCACTGGTACCTGGTAGACCGAGCACTTTTTATGATGAATGTTGAAATTTATTGACTGCTTTTTCTTTGTTGACAAATAATTCTATGGGATTTTTTTCTGCACTCTGTTTATGTGGTGAATTACATTGATTTTTAGAGTATTAAATGAATCTTGGATTCTTGTCATAAGCCCCAGTTGGTCTCAAAACATTATCCTCTTATACATTGCTAAATACCATTCACTAAGATTTGGGGGAGAATTTTGCACCTGTATTTGTAAAGAGGATTATTCTATTGCTTTCTTTTTTGTGTTTTTGTTGGGTTCTTCTATTTGGGGTCATGCTGGTCTTATATCAAGTTGGAAGGATCACAAAAATGGTTTATATGAATGAGATTCAGATAGAAAGGGGGAGGCAGTTGTTGATCTGTGAGTTGGGAGTGAGTGCACTGGGTTTGTCCCACTAAATGTGCCAGGCAGTATGTTCTGGAATCTGTCAAAGGCCCTGAAATAATGGAACAAAGATAGTGCTCTGGTGAGGCTTATATATCGATGAAAACAGAATCAGCAGAAAGTGAAGCTAAATCATACCCTCTGCTAAATGAAGTTAACTTAGAGCAATTGGTTTAGACATAAAAGGGTTTGGTGATTCTATTTCATACACCGCTTTTCCTTTAAAATATTGCTTTTCTTTTTGTGATAACATCAAGAAGAAAAACTTAATTAATAGTTTGTATACTTTAAACAACTTTAAAAAGGTAACAACATTATGATAACAGAAAGGTACACTCACTCAAACTGAGACCCAGGAGAGAAAAGAAGAAAGCTACACTCTAGGCCAGTGTTTTAAGGCTTGCATTTTATTATTAACTACTTTCAGAGGAAGTAGCTGTCCTATGTTAGCTTGTTAATTTTATTATGTTATTTAAAACTTATGAACACAAAAGCCTCATTTTTCTACAAAAGTAACACATACAAATTCAACAATAAGCAAATGAAAGTTTGAAACTCAAACTAATGATACTAGTTTGAGGTCAAGGATGATTTGTTCTGCAAAACTACTTTGACGCTAACCGTATTGGTGTAGCCCTCTCCTCTCTCGCCAGTTTTCTAGCCTCTGGTAATTTTTCAACTGTCCTTGTCAACTGGGGTTGCATGTAAAAGAGTCCTTGAATCCACAGAGGGGCTTTAGGCCTGAGTGGACCTTGCTGGGCTGTCTGATTCTGCAGCTGTGTTTGCTCCACAATGGTCTGCTGCCCCTCTGCCTCTTTGACCCTCTCTGGAGGACCACTGAACACTTACTTGGCATCTTCAGTGAGCCACCTTTGTGGATGACTCTGGAAGGTTTCCATTCACATCACTCTCTCTGCAAGAAAACCTCTCTCTATAGGTCTGGAGCTTAATTCTTTGTCCATTCACTTGTAACTTTGCCATTTTGTTGTGGTCCTGACCAGCACATTGAGCCACCCAGTAGACTCCAGCTCCTCCATGCTCTTCTCTAGACTGGACTGCCCAAGAGCAGTCCCATGGTGGTGGGGTGCTGGTTTTCAGGCAGTGTAGGCACAGAAGGTTTGAGTAGAAGACAGCATATGCTTTAGCCCCTTAAAATTCGATCCCCAAATCCTAACTAAATTTTCCTCATTGGAAACTTCAATACTCAAAGAGCCGACGTTTTGTATGTGGTGTGTTAAGTGGTAATTGAGGTTTGCAGATTTTTTATTTGATTTATTCTGATTTTCTTCCAATGGCCTGTGAGCAGAAACTTAAATACAGCTTCGTTGTAGTTGCTTCTTCCTGTTTAGAGAGGCTGGCATAATATTTTGTCTTCTGGGCTCAAATAACCATGTAATTACTCTGTAATCATATAGTAATTAGTATGTACTATATGCATTTATTACATAATTATATTCCTGGAGGATTGCATGGCAATTATACTTTCATTCAGCATATCATTTTATATACTGTATCACGAACAAGTATATAATTTGTTGCTGTTTTCTTTGATCCTAATTTCAGTTTACTGGGCAGGAGCTGGGGCTGTTCTCCTGTCGCCTTGTTTGCTTGTAGCTGGGCAGGTGCCTGAGTCCCTCTGTCCTCACTCCATGGCTCCTACTTAGACACTGAAGCAGTACCAGGGGGCTTGTGTGCTGTAGCAGATTCCTAGCATCTCCCGCTCTTAACACACTTCCTCCTTGCCATGAATCATTCAAGTATTAGCTTCAAGATGCCTTGGAGTTCTAGAGCTGCCAGCGTGGCCCAGTGGATGCTCAGCTCTCAGTGAACGCAGAGCAGGTGTGGAGCCAGCGCCATGTTCACCCCTGTCTTTCTCTGCTTTGCAGTGGAGCATATTCCCAAAGGGAACAACTGCCTGGATGCGGCCAAGGCCTGCAACCTGGATGACACCTGCAAGAAGTACAGATCTGCATACATCACCCCCTGCACCACCAGCATGTCCAACGAAGTCTGCAACCGCCGCAAATGTCACAAGGCCCTGCGGCAGTTCTTTGACAAGGTCCCGGCTAAGCACAGCTATGGAATGCTCTTCTGCTCCTGCCGGGACATAGCCTGCACTGAGCGGCGACGCCAGACCATCGTGCCCGTGTGCTCCTATGAAGAGCGGGAGAAGCCCAACTGCTTGAATTTGCAGGACTCCTGCAAGACAAATTACATCTGCAGGTAAGCACGCCGGCAAGGCCATGATTAATGACGCTCAGCCCTGTTGGTGGCTGAAGCTGCCAGGCTTCAGCTCCCTGGGTGTCTCCCAGGCCAGAGGCAGTCCAGGGCCATTTCTCTGAATGCATTAGGAGATCTGACTTCCACCCCTCCAACATGGCTCTTATTTGTGGTTTGTTGGTTGGTTGGCATTACTCAATTTAAAGTTGTGACCCACCACTTGAGCCTTTTGTTTAAAGTAAGTGTTTCATTTTTAGATAAGTCTTAACACTTTCTGTCCTGGACACTATTCCTGGAGACAAGGCCATGCTAACTTCTTTATTTTTGAAGGGGGCAGGAGGTCCTGGGCTAGCTTCATATCAAAATCTTATCTCCACCTCCCATGTAGTTGGGATTACAGGGATGCATTGCCATACCTGCTTTAAAATGCATACTTCAGAATGAGTACTTCTCAGGTCATGGAGCCACCTGGGTGAAGAGAACTGCAGGCATGAGCCCATTCTTCAAGACCTAAGTGGCTTCCAGGGGTCAAGCAACTCAAGAGAAGAGTTATAGCCAGAGACATGGAGTCTCTCAAATGTTCAGTGGTAGAAAACTGGAAATAAGGAGCCAATGGGAGTGAGGGCTGTCTAGCCTTGGGGAGGGAAACATTGAAAACAGCCAGGTCTGTTCCATTTTGTGGCTAGAGAGATCATACCTTCCAGCTCAGCCCCTCTTCCAATCCACAGACCCCATCAGAGGCTGAGTATTACTGAAAACATACACTAATTTTTCCTTATTGGCCATTTATTGTTATATTTCAATGTGTGAAGAAGTCTGTGGACATATTCTTCATGTGGAATAAAAGAACGTAGGATTGGGGTGAGTGAGAAGTCCCCTTCAGCTCAGCACACAGGGGACCAGTGTTGTGTGGATCATTTGATGCATGCCCTTCAAGAACTTTGGGGTTGAGTTCAGTTGTTGATCAAAGCAAGTAGATTTTGATAAAAGATACCAAGCCTTTGCAGACAGGCTGTATTGGTGCCTTGTTCAGAAAAGCAGGCCCAATCCGGGGCCGGAGATTCAGGCAAGGCATCACATTCGCTAACACCTATTCCTCAGGGCAGGATCCAAGAGGCTTCCATGCCAGCCCTGACTTAATCCTATATGCTCAGTAATTGTTAGGCAGGTAAGCAAGTAGATGAGAGTGTAACTAGGCACTTGTTTTCTTATATGATCCTCATTGTTAAAGCCCAAAGAACATGTGGGCACTGGTGGCTCATGCTTGTAATCCTGACTACTCAGAAGACTGAGCTCTGAGGATCACGGTTCGAAGCCAGTCTGGGCAGCCAAGTCTATGAGACTTTTATCACCAATTAAGCACCCCCAAAAAATCTGGAAGTAGAGCTGTGGCTCAAGTGGTAGAACACTAGCTTTGAGTGAAAAGCTAAGGGACACCACCCAGGTCTTGAATTCGAAACCCCATATTGGCACACACAGAAAAAGAAAAGACAGCAAGATATATATATATATATACATATACATATGTATATATATGTATATACATACACATACATATATATATATATGTTAAGGAATCTGTTTTTATGAGTTTCTGTTCAGTTTGCTTTATTCTGGTATAATGAGGTTCTGTTCCTTAAACCAGCTCTAATAGTAACCAAAGAAATGTGAAATCCTCATTATCTGTACAACCCTCATTTGAGTGTGATGTTCCTTCATCTGGATTAAGAAGCTTGAGGCAGTGCATCTGCTGTATAAAGAGGGGCTCAGGTGGCCAAGCATCACATGGACAATTTGCATAGTAGGAGTCAGGTGTTCCTGAAGTGCAACTCCTCCAAATCCTCTTTCCTCTTCTTCTTTTTGTCCAAGCCCTGGTGCTTGAAATCAAGGCTTGGGTCTATCCCTGAGCTCCTTTTTGCGCAAAGCTAGTGCTCTACCACTGAGCCATAGCACCACTTCAGGCCTTTTCTGAGTAGTTTATTATAAATAAAAGCCTCACAGATTTTCCTGCTCTGGCTGGTTTTGAACCATGATCCTTGAATCTCAGCCCCCAGAGTAGCTAGGATTACACGGGTGAGTTACCAGGCCCAGCTTCTTCCTTACTCTCTTAGCCACTAGTCCATTCTGCTGTAGTGACTGCGGGCTAGGAGCATAGATGGGTGTTTTGGAAGTAATCATGGTAAGAGGCAGGACCTCAGCAAGCCTGAAATCCAGGAAACCAGTCAGCCAGGAAGTCTTAAGGAGCTCCCACCACAGGTGAAACCAATGAACAGCAAAGGGAGAGAAATTGGGAGCCTGGCTCAAGATGCACACATGGGAAGAAGCAGGGATTCTGAAAATCCTAGGACTCATACCACCAAATACTAGACCAATTAACCTTTATGTGTACATGTGTGCCAATACTGGGTGAACTCAAGGCTTTCATTTGGCTTTTTCTCCTTAAAACTGATACTCTACCACTTGAAACACAACCCTACTTCCAGCTTTTTTGGTAGTAATTGAAGATAAGACTCTTACATATGGAGGGAAGAATGGTAAGGAAAAACAAAGGAGGGGGTAACAATGCTCGATATGAAATGTACTCATTACCTTACTCATGTAACTGTAACCCCCTTGTACAGTATCTTTACAATAAAAAAGGTATTTAAAAAAGATTTTTACAAACTTTTCTGCCCAGGCAGGCTTCAAACTGAGATCCTTACATCTCAGCCTCTTGAGTAGCTAGGATTACAGGTATGAGCCCCTGTGCCTGGCTCTGTTAACCTTTGAGCAGAAGGAATTTCTCTTCCTGTAAGTAGGATTTAATTTCTAGAATCTTATTGGCTTAAATTCGGACAGTTTCTCTCTAAGATGCTCTCCTACTTACTGTTGTATCAGACGTCCAGCCTAGACTTTTGGTCCTACCTAGAGAAGGAAGGCTGTAGGGGGCAAACTGGAGCAGTAGATCAATTTCTGCCCATCCAGCAATGGTCACAAAGTGGAGAGATGGTAGAGCCTTGTCTTCTCACAAATGTATTATATAGTGACTCTAAGAGAAGATCTGTGACCCTCCTACATGGGTCCAAAGCTGATTCTGAGCAGTTAAATTGCATTCCCTGCCTTGCTCTTCTAAAAAGAGTCTCCTTAGAGGGTTGATATGAATTCCTTAAATCAGATTGCTTTCTTGCTAAGCCAGGAAGAATAGCTGAGAGTTTGGGGAATTGGAGGGTGCTGGTGGAGGAAGAAACAGGAACCTGCAGATAATAGGATGGTTTAGCTACTCTTCTGGGGGCTCATACTATCTTGGTGGAAGAACATTTTCCATGAATTAATAGAGATGCCCCTAATAGCAGGAATAGACCCACTGATGGGAAAGAAATGTAAAATGGGCATAAGACAGCCCTTGCATAGTAGCTGAGCATCTCAATCAAGTATCTTGGCATAAAGCAGACAGCAGCTTCAGGCAATGGGGTAAAGGCTTCCTGGACTGAGTTGTACCTCAAGACAGTGTTTGTAGTATGGTCACGTTTCTAGCTTTGGGTGTGACTGAGAGACTATTTGAGATCCAGAGCTAGGGTGCCCAGGGGCCTTACCAAGGGAAATCTGTCTCCATGTGATTGATGGGCTTTGTGTCCTGTCTTGAGTCTTTTCTGGGGAGGTAAATCAGGGACTTCTTTTGGTGTTACCCGTTGTTATGTTATTTAGTTGGTAATTTCTTTCCAGAGCCTAGACTTATTACTCATGATTACCCCCTCCCTGCCAAAGTGGTAAATGTAATTTGAGCTGCTAGGTTGGCAAGTGATGTTTTCTTCCATGAGATTTTTAGTAATCTTGTCTTTAATTTTATGCTTTTTATGCCCTCCCTTCATCCATCTCAAGGAGGCAGCTGGGTGGCTACCCAGAGCAGCGGCTGGTACTGGCAAAAGCCAGGGTTCTTCCAGTTCTCTGCTAAAGACCTTCTCCCCTCCTTCCTACCGCTATGATGCTTAAGGCCTCATCTGAATATTCCCAACAGGAAGAGATGGCAAGAGAGAAAATCGCATCCTAAACACCACGCTCTTTGAAAGCTCGCACTTTCCTTTTTAGCATCACTGCCTATCAAAGAACAGCTCAAGCTCATTAAAACTTCCCCGAAAGTAAGATTTTCCTGTTCTCGGGCCTTCAGGTTTCTTTCCCCAAGGTCCCACGGTGCCTCGGCACAAAACCCGGCTCTCCTCAGCCTTCTGCCTTCAAACAGATGAGAAACAACTTGAGCTTTTCCTTTTGACTTTGTTTTCTTTTTTCCTTTTTCTCTTTTAGGAAAGCTGACAGGTTCTTTGCCTCTTGGGGTGCTAGGGGAAGGCTTGAGCTTGACTGTTCAGGCCTCCAAGCTTGTCTCCAGCAAAGCACGCACTGAGGTGTTATTAGAAGGCTGTGATGAAACTTAAAAGCCTCACACCTCTCCCCAGGAGCACACTGTCTCCCCTGCCAGTTTTGCTCTGCTTGCTTTCCTTACTGCCTGGAAGGATGAATTTGGCCAGAAGGAAGTATGCGTCTTTGTTCCTGATGCAAATTGTTTCATACACATAGACATATGCCTTGCCTTGCTTTCTCCCAAACTCTGACATTCAGGAAAAACTTTGCACTTATGCACTGACTTAGGATGCCACAGATTTGTTTCTGTCCCTTTTATTTTCCTAATTAATCACTCAGATGCCATAGTTATTCAGAGCCAGAAGCCCTAGCACCTACCCCTAGAGCTCACCCCTTCTGCTTCTGTCTAGAAATCAGAAGTAGAGTACAACCCATTCTGCTTCCAATACCAAACAAGGCAAGAGCCTGAGGTTCACACCGCCTGGAGCCATTAACTGCTACCGAACACACTTCTGGTGGGGAACAGCCCAGTGCATGCTTAGTGGCTACTGTGGCTGTCTTGGTCATTCTACACGCATTCTGCACATCCTTGGTGGTTCCTTATACATGTAGCCATTGTTGCCCAAACTATGTGATATTACGACCCGGGGGATAGGTCCTGAGGAGCTCCA